CCCTTCAAAGCAGGACTTAAATTCAGCCTGACTTGCTTCTGTGCTAAGGATGGAGCTCCCAATAGACCCTACTGTCTTCAATAGCCAACTTAAATAAGAAACATAAGGGGCCCTGCCTTAAGCACCTGTATAGATAAAATAAGGAATTAAAGACATAATTCATAGTGTAATTGCTACAGATCTCTGGCATGGCAAAAGCAGTGCATCTCGCCCAGCACACTTCTTCCAACAAGTTTTTTTTTCAGTGAATAATCTGAATTTCTTAAAACTAACATTGTTCCTATGCTGATAGACCCAGCAACCAACCATTCAAAAAAATCTTTCAAATTTCAAAATCTGACAACAGACCTGCCTCTCCTGTGTGTTCTTGACCATTAAAGGATATATTTAAAATACAAGTAATTTGGAAAGGAGAATATATTATGGTCAGCTTGTTCTTAAATAAAAACCTGTTTCTTTCAAAGCATAGCCAGGCAGTGCCTCCCAGTTCTCTAACATGCTGCATGTTAGAGCATGAAGTGAGAAACTTCAACTGAAATATTACTGAAAGGAGGGTTTTGTGGTTTGTAAATAATACCTCCTTTGGAGAATTGTGGGCTGGCTGCTCCTGTTCTTGCTGTAGCAGAGGGATTGACTGAAACACCTCATTCTTTGTAGCAGCATGCTGGCTCTAGATGCTGAGTGAATTTAAGGAGTTGGTGATTGAGGGCCCCTCTGAGGGATGCCACAGCAGCCCAGCACTCCTCTAAACACAAGGAGCTGTTTCAGCAGTGCAAGATGACACTGCCACTGCCCCGGGAAACAGATTTGCATTGCAAAAACTACCTGAGCCTGACGTTGTGAAATCGCTCCCCTGTGCTCCATGAACCATAAAAGAAGCCCAGCTGAAGTGGGAAGGATGAGCCTCACCCAAGCTACAGGCAGCAAACAGCTCCAGGAGCCAGAGCTGGGGAGCAGGAAATGTGTGGGAAAGCCATCTGGTGAAGGCACTCAGAAACAGCGTGGAAGTCTTTTTTCATTCACTTCCTGACGAAGTAGTAATATGTTGTCTCATTATAGGAAGATGACTGGGTGTTATTATTATTTGTATATTAGTAACTCCTAGAAGCCCAAAGGTGAAGACAGGACTCTCGCTGTGTTACCTGCTGTGGGCACATGTAAGAGGAGACCTTTCCCTATACAAACTCCTCCATAAAAGGACAGAAGGCATAGGATTGTGATTTTTGTGTTTTTCTCTTTTCTTTTTCTTTTTTTATCCTTGTGGGGAACTGAAACAGATGGGAGAGACTGGAGGAGCTGGAAACAGAACATGTAATAATTCCCAAGTCATGACTTTCTCAGCAGAACTGTTCTTTGCCTCCTATACTTTAGCTCTGAGCAGCTCTGGTGAGTGGTTTGTACCCTGGCACACTGCTCATGAGGAGCTCCACAGTTCTCCTTGGTAAACTTGGCATTTAGCTTGGTGTGGACACACTGCTGAGAGCTCCTTCACCCTTTGCGGTGCTGAGGCAGGGGGAGGGAAATCAAAGCAATGTGCAGAAGGGTTTTAATCATCATGTAGCAAACTAAAAAATACAGTGGAAGTCTTAAACTTGCTCTTTGGCATTTCAATCACGTCCTTCACTATGTGTTCCCAGTCCAGCAAACCAGATTTTCCCCATGGTTTAATGCTGTTCTAACCTCAGGCAGTATCTTTGTTCTGCTAAAAGGAGAGAACCAAAGGCTGTATTTCAAGAGAAGGCAAAGTTCCTTATAGCCTACTTACTATTATTAGATATTTAAAGTTCTCCTATATCACCACCTCATTGGAAGACCTCAAACCATTTTAAGGACCTTATTTTAGCCTCTTGGTGACAGAGGCAAGAAGCTAATTTTTAGATACTGGAACAGACTTAACATTCCTATCCTTGAGTTTTCCTTACCAGTCTTTGCTAGAATTGATGATGGATTTTTTCAGTCCCAGGCATTAATTGCAATACAGGTCCCCTTGCTGTCCTTGTGTGGGTGTGTGTGCTTGGCTGGTTGGCATTAGTGTCAGGTTTAGACAAAGTGAGTATGTGTTGGCTTTTCATCTCTGGGGAAGGCAGAGTTTAAAAAATGTCCTAAAGACTAATTAGTTGGTGAAAGTATGGCAGCAGCAGGAAGGAGGAGGGGCAGGATGAAGGAGATGGTGGCTGCTGCCCTGCTTTGAGATAAAAGAGGCTAAAGCCCTGGAAATCCAGAAGAAACAAGCAGGACCATGTGGGCTGGCAGCCCCTGAGGCTGACTGTCATTCAGTGCATAGAGCCTAGTGCCAGGGGGGCACCTGGCACAGGGGGGATACCTTCTCCAGGAGTGAGATGATCTAGTGTTGTTAAGTGGGGCCATGAGATGTTAATTGCTAAAAACTGCAGAAATTAAAATTTAAGGAGCCAGTATCTTCTAGTGTATAATGACTCTACCAGAGAGAGAAGCCTGTCTTTGTGTCCTGTGAGGGAAGCAGGATATAAAGTGTTGGACAGGGCAGACTTGAGGCTCTGAATAAGGCTTTCATCACCTTATCCCAGATTTCTCATAACCCTCTGCTTCCAAACAACCCACGGTGACACAAATGCAGAACCAAGAACACAAGGAGGATACCAGCAACACCTTAAAGGTCACAGAAGCTGTAACAGCACCTCTTGGTAGGACTTTTCCTCTCCCAGTGCTCAGTTCATGATCCCAGGAGAGACTCTAGCCCATGTCAGTATGGCTGTGGGCAAGCACATCCATGCAATTCTTATTTGTCCTTTTTATTAATTGGAAGCCTAAATGGTAACAGGAGCCAGAACTACATGGGTGCAGGGTTTAGGCAGTGCCACTGCCCCAGGGATTACATGAGTAACCTCTTCAGAATAAGAGCCAGACACATGAGACTGCAAATACACTATGGAGCAGCAAATATGGAATATTAAGCAGCCAGGAATCAAGTGCTAATATAATGCTGAGATTTTAAAAAGCCTCAGCTAAAGCCCTGAGAATGACAACATATTGTTCCCTACTCTCTTTCAATTTGTCCAGGTCTTCCTGAGTGTGGGAAGACTGTTTACACCCTTGCTATACCCAATATATTGCTGTATTTGAGTTACTGGCAAGTTTTGGCCAGGTGACAAACTCAATGAGCACTGAGTCGTGCCTCAGCAAACATCAGCTCTGTCTCTATCAGAGCTTATCTGCATTGGAGAAAAACTGTCCTCCAAGCTGGGAGCAGGGTTGGGCTGGAATGGGAAGGGCAGCACCAATACTCAGCATTTTTGAATGTGCCAGTTCTGAAAAGGGTCAATGAACACTAACAGCGAGTTAAGGGAACAAAAGCCATGCTTGGACACCACATGCTGGTAGATTTAACTTGGTGGCTCCTCTTACAAGGTTTTGTGGAGTGGCTCTCTGAGCATCTGGCTGTGAGAGGTTCCTGTAGCACAAGTACCATGTGAGGATAATCCCATGTGGTTTAAAAGCCCAGAACAAGCTGTCTGCTTTGCCTCTCCTACCTTCTAGTCTGTTCTTCCAGTTTATGCTTATGCTCAGACAATAACAAATCTTACATTCCCCAGCCAGTGACAAAAATCATACATACACAGAAGGAGCCAAGTTCTTAGCCCTGGATAAGAAACCTGACACAACACAGGGATTGTAAAATTGTGGGTGGAAACTCTCATCCATGGTGCATGTGCAATACACTCTGTCCAGAGAAAAGGTAAAAGATCTGTAGCTCACTTGGGACACATTGCTTTAAAAACATGGATAAACTTAGCAGCATTCCTGAGCTAAGGAAGATGAGGTCTTTTGGGTTTTTTTTTATCTTTTCTTTTTTAAGCTAGTTAACCAAATTGGAATAACTGGTTTTTTAATCCTTGACAAGAAAAATCTACAGTGGAATGAGGAATGATTTCCTCAAGTGTCAGTAGAGAGTGTCATAACCAACACCAACTCTTCTCACCTCCAGAGGTACAGGACAACTGCATACACACCTTGAGTGAAGACCTGTACATCTGACCCTCTTCAAAGTCCTCTGATCCTAGTGTTGTGGCTGAGGTGTCCACCCTCTCATAGGCAAAACCTTCATGTCAGCCCCAGAGACTCAGCTCTGAAAGAATTTAGTCTGAGAGATGTTCTTACAGCATGAGGTGGGCCTCTTCAGCCTGAATCTGTGTGTGTGTTTTTGTTCTATGCTATTTTGGGAATAAGCAACTGATAACAAGCAAATGCTTTCATTTGCTGGAGTAACTATGTTCTCAAGCATTAAAATTATGGTTTGTGCTAACTGTCCAGTGGGGAGGAAAAAAATCAAGATTCTTAATTCCAGAAGACAGGTTCACTTCTGTGGGAAGGACGCAGAAACTGTTAATTCTTTTGCTGTCAGAAAGAAACTCATGCTGCAAGTATTCAGCCAATTAGGCTGATTTGTAGCAGCCTCACTATAAATCCTCTTTCATTCAGAGGCAAGTTAAGCTCTTTGATGAAACATGGCATTCCAAGGAATTTCAGTAGGTTCTCACACATCTAACCATTGCAAAATTATCTGTAGTGACACACCATCTAAGAATGACATGGTATGTTCAATTCTACAACATTACAGCCAATGTATTTCAAAAAAGGGAGGCCTGCAAAAAGTGTTTCAACCCACTGTTGCAGATTAGCCTTCTTCTTACATGCTACATTTGTTCAGCCTATTAGTAAGTTAGAAACACATTTTCTAAATCAGTTCTAGATACAAAAACAGTCAAGAGAGATAACTGTGCAGTAAATGACCACTCAACCCAGAAACACAACTGTTTTGCCAAAGAAACACATCACTCCTTAGAGGTGTAAAATCACTTGAAAGGCAGCATGTCTTACCGCGACACCTGTGTAACATGAGCAGAGGCAGAACTGTTTGTTTCCCTGGAAGTTGGAGCTTTCCCACTCCTTTGCCCCAGAGGGGGATGACAGCAGAGCTGTGACCCTGCCCCATGCCCAGCTGTGCCACCCAGCTGACTCACCCTGCTGAGCTGGTCCAGGAGTCTTTGGTTCTGCTCGGAGAGTTCCTGGACGGCGCGCGTCTTCTCCCGGTCGGCTTCGCGCAGGTGCACCTGCTGCTTCTCCAGCTCGTCCTGCAGCTGCTTCACGTCGCTCTCCAGCTCGGACACCCTTCCTTCCCACTCTCCCTCCTTGTTCTCAAATCGCCGCCGCAGTTCGTGTTTCTCTTGTTCCAGGTGCTACGTGATGGGGGAGAAAAGGTTAGGAAGGGAGGGGAAAAAGGTGAATGTCTCCTTTTCCTCCTCTATGCTAGGGTTAAAACCTCGTGTAGGAAAGAGGATGGTGCTAGAGCGTGACAATGCCATGGAGATGACAATTCCACATCAGGGCAGGTCACTGGCACTAAAGCCATTTTCCATTTCCAGCAATTGGCCTGTCCTTGGCCACTGGAGTTCAGTACATTGAATTTTTACTGAAATAACTGCCAAAAGAGTAAAGTAGGCTGCATGTCAATAGGCGAGATATATAGGTCAGACAAAGCAATTGATTTAGCAGAGCCCAGCTTAACTCCAAAGCAATATTTCAGTGGTCAGTGGCATAATTTTTTTAAAATTGCCTTTATAGTCAAAATACACAAACTGTATACCCTTACTGTTGGGGAGGAATGTAGATGAGGCATTCTTGCTGTCATATGGGTCTCATGAACAACAGTTGAATCATCTATCCATTTGCTCCTTCTATTCCTGACCTAATTAGTTGTCTGAGAGTTTGATAGTGCACAGTAACTCCATTGTTTGATGCAGCCCGCTCTGGAATGGCAATGGATGCAATGAAATGGTTGCTATAGTCATTACGTACATCCATGTTCTGGGTCCAGGTTTCTTAGAAACCACTCTCGGTTCTGGAGACTCTGCTCTGCTTTGGATTGGCTGGAAAATGAGGCACAGCACAAATCTGGTGAAACTTTTGCATGTTTTACAGGCTCAGTTAAATGAGGGCTTGATTGAAACAGAGCTGCAAATCAGGTCAAAGCAGATTTATGTTGTGCCCATTTGAAAGAATCCCTGCTCCAAAACCCTTAGCTTGAATTTCCCTTGGTGACTAAAGACACACATTTACTTTCAGAACAGTCTCAGATTGAGGACATGAGCACGTCCCAGGATTAGCAGGAAAACCTGAAAAACGGGAGTCCTCTCCTTGTTGGTTGTCCTTTGATCCCCATAATAATCTCCTGCTACGCTCTATCAAATTCCCCAGTCTTTATGGAATGTGTCTTAGAGAAGAACAGAAACTCACTGGGCCAAACACTGGTAGCACTTGCCTATTTCTCCCAGGTGAATTGTTCCCTAGTGAACAATTCCCATGGCACTTCTGAGAGGAGGGGAAAATAAACCTGCTAGGCGGAAAAGAAAATTGCACTGCATTTATGTGAAGTGGCTTTTTATTGCTTGTTAGAAACACTGGCTGTGAGGGGGCTGTTTCCCCTGGGTGCCTATTGCTGATGACACACAGCCTCCCTGGCAGGGTCCCTGTCACCTTCCTGAGAAGGTCTCAATGTCAAAACCCTCCAGTACCTCCCCAGCCTCTGGCCTGTGTATTGCTAATCTTCCACCTTTTTTTGCTCTGCCACACAGATGCCATGTTTTCTCTTTTTTCACCCAATCCCCAAATCCTTTCCTTCCAGCTGAGTGTAGCAGCATGTTGCTTGTGCCCTTCAAATCCTTCTGCAAATTCCAGACTTTCTTGAAAAACCCTTAAATATGAGGGAAAGTTGATTAAAAACATCCCCATAGTAGGGGATTTCCCCATGCTTCAGACACTGAAAGAATGAGCATCCTTGCAAATGAGAGCTAAGTAGTAATATAAATATTTTAATGCAATAGGTAGGCATGAGATCCCAGCAGCTGGCCCATGACAACCATTGCAAAGAAATCTTGTTTGTAGTCCAAGTGTGGCTGGAGCAGCCACAATTTCACTTTCAGCAGCACACTGAAAATTCTGTCTTTTATAGCTCTGCCTCTTTCACTGCTAGGCAACGTTTAGAAAGATCCAGGGCCTTCTCTAAATGGAAAGTAGAACTTCAGCCTGCTGAGAAGCAGCACTGCAGCTGAAGTGCCCCAGACACCCAAATGTGATTTAGAAGCCACTGATAAGCCTTGCCAATCATTTAAAAAGCACTTTAGTCTTTCACTGCAAAAGCAAATCTCCACTACACACAGCCCCAGTAAATGGCCATCACAAAGGCTGGTGTTAGAAGAAGGTGAAGAATATGAAGTTTATTCTGTTGTGACAGAGAAACCAGAACAGAGCAGTGGGGCACGGAGAGGCTGTTGCAAAGAGGAGGATAACCCAGACGAGATGTGTTGACTGGTCCTCCCTGCTCCTGTCAGCAGCCATCTCTCCTGGCCTGCCCTCACCCCAGCACCTGCAGGGCTGCAGGTCTGGAGGGGATTTCTGCACACAGTGCTGATAGGGCAAACTGCTGTCCTCAGTAGGGGAGTTTCTTGTTTCCTGAGTGTCTCTCCATTCACCAGCTGCTCATTGATTTTTACACAGCTTTCTAGAAGATGTTTTCTTCTGAAAACAGCTTCTCTTCAACTTAACTGAGCCGGTCTGGTCCTCATCTGAAGAGATGAAAGCAAGGGGGAATTTCCCAGCTGATAAAGAGGGTTCATACTGTAAAATGCTCAGACACAGCAGGCTCCTGTGTCAGAGGAACATCACTATTAACTGCTTTAATCCCTTAGAGAGGATAAAACTGTCTAGGACCACATATCAGAATTTATTACAGAACTTCAATTTCATGATTGGAAATGAATTTAAATTCAGGCTGTGAAGTGAAAGGTTTACCAGAGTAAGTGTATGGCAGGAATGCTGTACCTCAACAATGAACCCACAAAACTAGAGCATATTTAATCTTGAGGCAAAACCCAACAAGCAGACCAGTACCTTGGCTGTTGTGAAATGGAGAGGCTCCACTGAGCTCTTGTAACCAATTTTGAACTGTGAACTGGGACAAAATATCTCCTTCTAAGTGCTAAACATCATATCAGATTGTCACCAAGGATCTCATCTGAGACTTTGCTTTTTGTCACTGTCAGAAAGTTCTCAGCATAGGGAAGGAGGGAACAGCTGTGGGTCTTTCCTCTCTGCTCCTCTGAAATCGAAAAGCTTATTGTGAAATTTTATTCACTTCAGTGGCAACAGGAGGAGGCCGAGATTTAATCTGCAGAGGCTGAGATTATCAAGCATGTATTTTAGAAGATTAATGTTGAAATTTGATTTTTTGTGTGAGGCAGCACTGGGTTAAATTTGCCAAACTCAGCGGAAAAAAAATGACCCTTAAGTAGATAATACTAACTCCTCTCAAATGGGTAGCCTGGAAAATAGCAATCTGTTATTCCACTGGGAAGTTAGGGTGATAGTAATGAGATGAAAACATGTGAACAGTCGCTTGTGTTTACCTTCTGAATGGGCCTGTGAGAGCAGAGGTAAACATTTGTGGGATGTTATTTAAACTACTATAAAGTTGTAGTTTCTCCCTTCTCCTTTTCACCTCTACATTTTGCAAACAGTGAGTGGTATTTGAGGCTCCTGAACTCCCTAAGAGGCAGCTTGCTGGGTACCTAAACTTGTGCATTTTTCCTTTAATGGTAGGAAAGGTTCTACTCCAACTCCTAAGGAAAACCATGTCAGCACACCACCACATACATCTGTTCTTGCTTAAAGATCAACCTGGAAACATTCACTCTGGCAAATTTTAATACTCTGGGAGATTTTCATCTGATAAACAGAGCCACTAAGCAACAATTGGAGCAAATGTCACCTTCACTATTTTTCTATTAAAATAGCAAAGGCAGAGAGATTCCCCTGCAAAAAGGAAGGGATCAGCTGGGGTAAATGACAAGCTTAATAAAAGAGAGGAATTTTTGTCAGGAGAACAAAGGGCATACAGTAATTTCACAAATCCTCTTGAACTTGAGAAATGTTAAGTCTGTGAGGAAGGAATAAAGGAATATGCAGGACTGTGCAGAAAGGACTGGTCTATGGCTGTGACTTGAAATGTGAATGTTAATCCAGGACCGTTCAAACTCTCTCCAAAAAGGTGAGAGAGGCTTTCCTCGGCCTTCAAAGCAGTATTACTTATTGGAAGAAATACAATTTCAAGAGTACCTATGAGGAAGGGTGAATAATAGTTGTTCTCTCACAATTGTGCAAGAGAGTTGTTCCAAAAAAAAAAAAGCTGCCTGCACGAGTCTTTTTCTTTGTAATCGCTCTATTTGATCTTTAAAATTCAATAAATAGCTCAATCCCCGAGTTCCTGGCAAACAGCTCTCTCCAGATACCTGTAGGCATTTTTCAGACCAAACAGCTAACAGCGATGTATCGTTAGGGCTTATCTCCTGCCATGCCTAAAGCCTTAGCTGCAACAGCTTAAGCTTAAGGGTCACATATGCTCTGTAGCTCAGTACCTGCTGTGCAAATTTAACTTCCGAGGTAATTCTGTGACGAGATGAGCCTGCACATGTCTCCCAGGTGGTCCTGGGGCAGAAGAGCCCCCAGGAGCCTCCGGAGCGCGGTGCTGCAGCCCGGCCCTGGCCCCACACGCCGGCTCTCGGCCGGGAGGAGCGGGGCAGAACGGCAGCTTTGCCTCCTCCAGGCCTGGCAGGCATTGCTCAGACCCTTTCTTCCCCGTCACGGCCACCGCGAGTCCCGTGGGTTCTCGGCCGGGCCCGCGCCCGCCGCCCGCCGGGGAAGGGGCCGCGGTGCGCGGGGAGAGCCGGCGGGCCGGGGCCGGGGCCGGGGCCGGGCGGAGCGCGGCGGGGCCTCACCTCCAGCTTGTCGGTGAGCTCCTTGTGCATCCTCTCGTACTGCCGGCTCATGTCCTGGTTGCGCTCCAGCAGCGCCTTGCCCAGCCGCGCCGCCAGCACCAGGTCCTTCTCCTTCTGCCGGATCAGCGAGAGCAGCTCGGGGTCGCGGGCGGCGGCGGCGGGCGGCGGCTCCGGCGGCTCCCCGGCGGCGGCCAGCAGCGCCAGCTCCTCCTCCAGGGCCAGCTCCAGGGCGGCGGCCCCGGGCGGCTCCATGCCGCCGGCGCTGTCCGCCTCCGCCGGTGCTGACCCGGCGGCGGGCAGGCGCAGGCACGGCGCCGACATGGCCCTGCGCGCCGCCGCCGCTCCGCTGCGCCCCCCGCGCCCGGCCCGCGGCTGCGGCGGCTGGGCGGGGAGCGCCGCCGCCCCCGGCCCCCGCCCCCCGGCGCCGGGCCCCGGCAGCGCATCGCCACCGCCGCGGCCACCGCCGCCGCCTCCGGCGCAGCCGCCGCCGCCGGGCCCGGGTAGCGCGGAGGAAACCGGGTCCTGCTGGCCCCGGCTGCCGCGGGCAGGTCTCTCCCCTTCTGCCGCAGGCACAGGCCAAAAATCCCCCCAGAACATCGGGGAAGTCCGAGGAGGGAACTTGGCACCCCCGGGGGGCACAGCGCGTTCTCCTCGCTCGCCTCCCGCTCCCCCAGAGCTCTAGCGGGGCCCTTTCGGGTGCCAGAGCAGCTCTCGGGATCTTTGTGCTCAGTAGTTCACCCCGGAGAGCTGACTACAGCTTCCAACAGCCACCGGGGCTTGCTTTCAATTTCGGATTGTTTGGAATGTTCTCCGGTAACATTTGTCCTAAAGGTACTCTCAGTGTACGTTGGGAGTTGTAGTCAGTTCAGCTCCCAGTACTATTCCCTCTATTAGGGGCAGGACTGGTTGGGGTTTCGTTTTGATTTTGTTGATTTTTTATCTCCTTAGATCCCAGTACAGGAGGGAGGCTGAGGCAGAATACAGCAGCATAAATCTGTATATTGTCACATTTGTTAAGACCCCGTTCCCTCAATTTCTGATTATACTCTAACTTCAAGCAAGGCTTTAATAGTGATTCCCTTTAAAATTCCCATTTTAAAGGGAATTTGTGCTTTTGATTCCTAGATTCTGCAGACAGGAATTATCCCAGGTTTTTTCCTTTGTACACTGCTTTCTTGGGGCTTGCTTTCCTTTCTTTCACTTAGACCATGTTAATCTGTATGCAACACACCCAACATATCAGTCCAAGGATGTTTTTGCCTGGGACAGTTGGTGACTGATGCAGTTTTCAAGTAGGGCTGGCTCCTGCCTGGCGTCAGACTCAGGGCCCTGGAGAGCTGCTGATTATTCCTTACAGTTAGAACATGAATTGTGGAAATGCAAACTTCCCTCTGGCCATCTGCCACTGGGACTTGGCCTTTCATGGGGATACACCCCAATAGCCCAGCTTGGGGGACCTGTTGAATCTTGGCCTTTTTCTTGGCAGCAGTGCTGTTTTTTGTAATGTGAGCACCTACTCTCCAAGGACTGGGCAGGCTGGTGCGTTGTGCTGCCGGCACCTGTCCCACCACAGTAACTGCTGGCCCTTATGACCATTATTTCTTTTGCACTGGTGACCCAGAGGTGACACCTCCTTTATCTCACAGCAATTCCCCCAGGCACTGACTTTTCCAGCCCTTTTGTCCTTGCAGTTCCACAGATGCTTACATTGCTGGAAAGAGGGATTAACCATAAGGTGAGATGGTTTGGACAACATTGGCCCTTTTAAAAGAACCCCTGTCCCAAGAGGATCAAATCTGTGATTGCACAGATTTGATCATCGCTATTTAAACACAGGAGGGCGTTTAATATTTAAACTGATTGTGAGCACCTTCTGCTGGAAGTGCCTACTACAGCAAACCAAGCCTCCTGGTGTGATTAATGAAATCCATTGTGGCTTTAATTTTCATCTCTAATGCTTCCTTCAATGTATAAAACAAAAAGAGATTATATTGAAATGGTTTTAATCTCCCAAACAAAGCCTGAAACAAACCCCATTGCTGCATCTGTTAGGATAGGGATGAAGAAAAGCCATTGCTTGGATGGAGAGGGAAAAGCACATATAAATCAGTGAAATGTATTGTAAATATGCCACCATCTTAGTCAGGCATCTATACAAGCTTAATGTTCCTTTCAGGACTATTGACTGCAAAACCTAACTGTGTTATCTGGAGTAACCCTGGATTAAAGCTTTGTTTATAGACAACGTATTATTGACTTCCACTTAAAAAAAAAAAAAAAAATCCATTGTCCTGTGAATTTAATTATTGGTTTGGCTTTTTAGAAATATGGTATGTTACTGCTTCTAGAACTCCTTTGTATGCTACTTTATTAGTATTTTATTTTGTATGTGTTATCCCAATCAAACACCTATGAAAAACTGTTAAGAATATAAAAATGCAGTTTCTTTACAATGAAATGATGACATTATCTATTAGGATCCTAAAATATATTTCATCTGAGAACTGGGATAGTTGCTGCCTATAAGTGGACATCAAACTACCATTTCTGTTCTTCCTGCTCTACTTCAGCCTGGTTCAGCCAGGTTGAGAGCCTCAACCCAGAAAATAGAAGAATAAGTTATTGGAAACAAGTCAAACATGAGGCTGTTTTGTTTTAATTGCACTGCTGAAAGCTGATGTGAGACTTCACTCCTCAGATACTGAAATAGTGAGTAGTTCTTATGGAGAATTAGATCAGGCATTCCAAGAGCTGACACTCTTGCAACACAGAAGGTTTCTGTGTGTACAGAACAAATGATCTTTTAGCCTGGAAATCACTCCAGGGATGGCCTTTTCTGAAAATGCAAAAAGGCCAGACTGACTCAAGCACACAGAGAACCAAGAGCAAGTGACTGATGCCAGTGATGTCATCACAGAGCACAGAAATGTCACCTTGCCCAGGACACATTTCCTTCTTTGTGATATTAGCAAACAAGGGTGAAAATAAAGCATAGGTGTAAGAGAGTGGTGTAAGAGTCTTTGTAAGAGGGTCAATCATTCTCTCCTTGCTCAGATCAAAATCTTGCAGGTCTGTATAAACTAGAAAGCAAAAGGTTCTATTCTTACAGAGCAAAAGGATGGCACTGACCTTGCCTCTAGGTAATGTTTTTTTCCTTCTTGCTTTTCCCCATCCCACAAGTACTGAATCCAGTAAATAAGCCAGAGGAGGGCTGGAGAACTTGATTCAAGGAGCCATCCAGGGCAACCTGCCAGTGCAAATTCTCTCTGCTAAACAGGTTCCTAAAAGAGCAAGATACTGAAACAGGCAATCCAGCTTAAGATGTGGATACATCAGTGGGTATTGTCCTTCCCAGAGGGTCAAGGGGAGGTGAACTCTAAGCTGTGCAGGCTCTTCAAGTCCAGTGTCAAGTATATTGTTAAATCTGATGCTTTGAAATATGTATTCTGCCTTGCAGGGATTTCACTGGTTGGTCTCTTCACAAAGGAAGTCTAGCAGAGGGTCTAGACCTTTGGTGGTTACATCAGCAAATGCTGGAGCATGTAGGACTGTATGACTTGAGCAGGACAAAGCATTTTTCACACATCAGAAAAGCTGCAAATCCAATAAATGTCCAAGTGTTTCAATCAATACCTTCACCTCAGCTGTGAGGGCAGCACTCAGATAACAGGCACTGCAAGGGATCATCCTTTTTTTGTTTAGAGAAAGGAGAGAAAAAGATGTGTTGTGGAAAAGCCACAGCCAGACCTGTTAAAGTAGGTTATTGTCCTGTGCATTTAAAGCTGACTGTGGTGAGAAAGGAATTCCCATCAACATCCTTAATCTTCGTGCCAGTGGGCTGACAGACTTGAAGGGGAGGCAGCACAAGCTATCAGGTTTCTTTTGCCATTCTCTCTCTCTCTCTCTCTCATTTTCTCTCTCCCTCCCTGCCCCACTCCCCCCTTTCTGAATGATTAATTGCTTCATTCTTCTCTCTATTTTCCTGCACTTCATGTCTGACAAATATCTTACTTTTTCTGGCTGTTTGTGTACCTCTGTGCTGAGGTGTTACAGCCACAGCCTCCTCTGCTGCAAGAGGTGCAGGCAGTCTCAGAGAGTTTGCAGTTACCCTAATGAATAATTAAAGGACATATGTGTCTTGCTTGCAAAACAGGCCAGAACTGCAAAGCCAGAGATAAGACTCATGTGTGACCTTTCTTTCTCTTTGCTTCTCTAATGTCCAAAGCTATGTAGTATGTGTGTGCCCAGCTTTTCCCTGATGCTGAGTAGAGGAAATACAGGATGGGAAGGTGTATTTGCAGAGCTTGGTAAGGGTGAAAAAACACAGAGATATATCATTAAACAGAAGGGAAAGAAAGCTCTTATGAGTGCTAGCCAAACAAGATGTAGTAAAATAAAAGACCATTCTGATTTTTCTCAAGGCTCAATAGCTCCACTGAGTTTCTGACAAGTTTGTTTTACCCAGGGTTATCAAAATCACAGAAACACAGGGTTATCAATATTACAGAACAGAAAGATCACTCATCCACCATGGTGACTCATGGCACTGAAGTCAGGGGAAACATCCCTTGACTGCTAAGGGGGTAAAGCATGGATGACTCAGGAGTGCCCGAGGACAGAGCCAACACTATGCTGTGCTCACCCTGCCTGTGTGTAAGGAACAAAGGGTGAAAAGGGAAAAGAATAGGGGAACCATTTGACTTGTAATATGGCACATAGGAGTTAGAGATGTAACTATTTTGTACTATAGGTGTTAGTCTCTGTGAATTGTGAAGTTTGGAAGCATTCTGTAACAGTCTCTCCAAAACAAAGCTGACAGTGCTGGGAACAAGCAGAACTACTCCGGACCTGGAGGAGTTGCATGGCCAATATTTCTGGCCAGCTTGATCTCTTTGGAGTACCCCACCAACAATTTGTCTTTGGTTCATGCCTGGCCCTGATCTGACACACATGCTGCCTTGCACCTGAGGCTCCTTCTTGGCTTACCACAGTCCAGAGAGACTCTGGACACAGGATCCAAGCTGGATTCTTCTTAGTGGGATGATCTTCCAACACTTATGCCAAGAGGGCTCCCATCCTCACACACTCTTGTTCCAGCTGCTGGGGTTGAAGTATGCCTTCAGCAGCATGTGACGGACTGCTGGAGCTACTCAGAGCTGCTGGAGAAGCTGCAGAGAAACAGAAAATGTCTCATGAGCACAACAGGGTGCAGAGGAGAGCTGGGCTGGGGACATACAGGGTGGCATGGAACACTCATGTGAGAGGTGTTGGGTCTGAGTGCTCCCACACAAACCCAGCTGTGGGCTACAGGAGGAGTAAAG